CGTGGTCCCTCGTTCCTCGTCCCTCTTCCTCCTCGTCCTCCTCCTCCCCCTCCTCCTCCTCCTCCACAATTACACAATATGAAAATACTCTCCCACTTCCCCTGATGGCGTCCCGAAGATATCCGACCCCCCCCCGCGTATTGTTTTTTACACACAGGATTCCCGGGAAAGGGTTTTCGCCTGCGTTTTTTTTCAAAATGCTGCTCTCGCTGAGGCGCCGGCCTCATTTCTGCTCCCGAATCGTTCCGAATCGTGCTCCCGCTGCAGCGTGGGCCTCATTTTCGGATCGGTGTTTGGCCTCCGTCGTTCAGGATGGCGTTCTCGCCCCAGCGCGGGCCTCTTTCTCGCGCGCCCATCCGCCCGCCACCACCGCGCCGCACCACCACCACCACCACCACCACCACCACCACCACCACCACCACCACCACCACCACCACCACCACCACCACCACCACCACCACAGCACCACCCACACCACACCACACCACACCACCACCACCACGCACACACGCACGCACGCACGCACGCGCACCACCACCCACTACGCACGCGCGCGCGGAGCCACAGGTCCGCTACGACACGCGTCCGCGGATAGAGAAAATCAGCGCCATGGTAAGGGATGGGAGGGAGGGGTAGGACGTCAGATATGACGCGAGCGCACCTAGCTTGTCCCGCCCCCCTCCCCCTCCCCCCTCCCCCCTCCTCCTCCCCCTCCTCCTCCTCCGCCGCCCTGTGGCGCGCCGCCCACGCCGCCGCAGGCGAGGGCGGGGCCACGCGTCGAGGGTCTGAGCTCGTCGGCAGAGACCGGCCACCGCGCTGTCCAGCTCGGTCGGGGCTTCTGCCGACTGCGCGCAAGAGTGACCCTTCGCCAGAGTGACCTTTGGTGCGGGCCGATTGCTGAGCGCGATGCGTTCGCGGCTGCTTGCGCGCTTGGATTTGGCCACTTTGTGCCACCTTCGTCCGCGGCGCGCACCAGAGGTCACTCTTGCCCAGGGTCACACTTGCGTGTAGCCGACTCTGTTGTTGTTCGGGATCCCGCAAGCCGGTGGGGCCCAGGGTGTGTGTGTGTGTGAGAGAGAGAGGTTTCGATCGTTTTGTTAGGCACCGAGCCGCCCAAGACAGGTGCCCCCCAGCCGCCGGCAGCTCCCGAGCGTTGCCGATAGGTGGGGCATGCAGGGGGCAATGTTTGGGGCAGTTCGGTACACCAGCGGATCGAATTCATGCCCCCCTTCAGGGTCACCCCCCTTTTGTGTGGATCCCGAGTTTCGTTTCGTGGTTCGCTTCTGTCTCGTTTCGTTGGTCGTTGTGGTTGTCAACGCCTCGTCTCGCTGTTCCCTCTGCCTGGCACCGGCTTCGTTTTGAACGCTCGTTCCGAAGTTGGGATTCCTTTCGTGTTTCGCTTCAAGCGCAAACTCGTTTTAAGCATCGTGGTGGTCGGCCCTTGCTTTTCCGACATGCCCGGCGGCTCTCCAGCTCCGGGGCTGCCCTTCAGCGGCTGCGCCTCGCCGACCGCGTTCTCGGGGTGCCCAGGAGCGCACCGAAAAGACCGCGGGAGGCTCGAGTCGTGATTCGGAAGCCGCCCAGAGGGGAAGGCATCGACCCCGAATCGCCCATTCATCGCCGAGAAGGGCCCGACAGCCTATCAGAGCCCCGCATCATCAGGGATAACTCGGGTCAGGGGTAACTCGGGTTCGTTTTTCGGGAATTCAAGCCCGAGTTACCCCGGACCCGAGTTACCCCGGATAACTCGGGGGTTCAGAGCCCCGAATCCTCAGGGGTAACTCGGGTCAGGGCTAACTCGGGTTCCTTTTCCGGGAATCCAAACCCGAGTTACCCCGGATAACTCGGGCGTCCAAGCCTATCTCACCCAGGCGCGTGCGCATTCTGCTCTCGGGGGGGCCCATCGCCGATCTATCGGAGATGCATATCCGGGTAGGAAAGCAGTCACGGGCCCGAATCCATGCCGACTCGTCTCTGAAGATGGTTGGAAAATGTAGGAAACGGAGGGGGAGAGGACCACCCAGGAAGTACGAAGAACACGAGGAGTCCTGCGATCCGTGCCGACTTGCTCGTGTGCCTCCCTGAGCCCCCGTAGCGCTGCCGATCCCGTGCCGATGCCGTGCTCCCATCTCCTGTTCCCCGGGGGTCGGCGCCTCCCTCTTGGCCAGTTGCCGACGCACGCGCCCCGCCGTGGAGAGGCGAGGGCCAGCGCCCCAGAGATCCTCACTTCGGCCACGCGCGGGGCGCGAGGATGGTCGTCCTCGGCCTCGGCCTCGTCCTCGTCCTCTTCGTCGTCGTCGTCGTCCTCCTCCTCCTCCTCCTCCTCCTCCTCCTCCTCCTCCTCCTCCTCCTCGCTCTCGTCATCGCGCGCCTCGCGCGCGCCGCGGCAGGGGCCAGAGCGGCTGCCCTTCTCCAGGGGGGCGGCGAGAGGGCAGGAGAGAAGCGCGCATCGCTTTGCGCGATGCGCGAGGCTCGGTGACCAGAGATCTGCGACCAATTCCGTGGTTTTCGAAAAAAACGCCCATCTCGAGTGCGTGTTGAAGCGATCCAACCCCCGGGCCCCAATCTCAAAGTTCGGGGCGGTCGACGCGGGGGAGTGCGAGTCGTTTCGAAAAAAACGCCCACATATGCAAACCGCGGCCTGCTCCTTTAGATGAACATCGAAATCGAGGGCGCGGGGGGCGCTCTTGCGCCATCTTCTAGGCGTTGTACTTGGGCGTTTTCGTCGAAAACGCCGGTTACGAATCCTACCAATGCGGGTCCAATTCACGCTCATACATCGGACACCCCCGCAGGGTTCGCTCGTCCGCACACATCCCTCGAAGTCTGAACTCCAGCCAGCGTTTCAGCAATCTGACCTGCAGGGGCAATGAGGATTCACATGCGGTTGCTCATTAGAAGCTTCCGAGACAACGCCGCCTCCGCATCGTCGTGGAACCCCTTGCCCCATGGCCAAATTATTTTCAATTCGCTGAACCCGTGGCGTCCGTGATGGGCGGGTCGCCCCCCCCCCCCCCCCATAAAGGTAACGAACGTACGGGGAGAGGGGTCCTGGCCCCCCCACAGCCATGTGCTGTGCTCACGGGCATGGTGTGGTGACGCCTGCAGAGGCGGCCGTCGTCGTCCCCGTCCACGTCCACGTCCACGTCCTCGTCCTCGCCGTCGTCGTCGTCATTATCGTGGTCGTCTTCGTCTTCGTCGAATCCGAGGGCCTCGAGGGGCCTGTAGAAGCCTCGACGGGCCTATCGAGATCTCCTGAGGCCTCCAGAGACCTTTGTACACCTTCCGAGGCGGACGTCATCGTCGTCGGCGTCGTCGTGGTCGCCGTCGCCGTCGTTGTCCTCATCCTCGCCCTCGTCCTCGTTCTCGTCCTCTTCGTCGTCGTCCTAGTCGTCGTCGTCGTCCTTGCTCTCGTCGCCGTTGTTATTATAGTCGTCGTCGTTATCGTACTCGCCGTCCTCGTCGTTCCCGTCCTCGTCCTGGCCGTCGCCGTCGATATCGTCGTCGTTGTCGCCGTCGTCTTCGGCGTCTGCGTCGTGGTCGTCGTCGTCATCTTCGTCGCGGTTGTCGGCGTAGTCGTCGCCGTCGTCATCATCGTCCTCGTCCCCGTCCTCATCCTCGTCGTTGTCGTCGTCCTCGTCCTCCTCGTCGTCGTGCTCGTCGTCGTCGTCGCCGAGGGCCTCGAAGAGCTTCTAGACGCCTCCAGAGGTGTCCAGAGACCTCCTTCGGCCTCCAGAGACCTCCGGAGACCTCCAGAGGTGGCCGTCGTCGCCGTCGTCCTCAGCGTCGCCTTCGTGCTCGTCGCCTTTCTCTGCGTCCTCGTCCTCGTCGCTGTCGTAGTCGTCGCCGTCGTCGTCGTCCGGCGCCTGCCTCTTCCCCCCTCCCCGGGGTGGCCCGACCCACCTCCCCCTTGTAACGGACGTTACGCAGGAGGGATAGAACATCTCTCAAGCAGTGGCGGGGTGTCCTGGCTCGCCTAAAGACCCGCCGAATGGTGCTCTGAGAACCTTGTGTGGTTTGCGCGACGTGGTATTAGAGCAGGTCTGGCTGAGACCGTCTTCGTTTTGTACATCGGCTTTCTACATTGTAAGAGCATTGTGATTGTTATTAGAACATTCTTTTGGTCTGAGAAATTTCGTGGTAAGCCTAGCGAAATGCCGGGACGGTTGGTCTCTGCTCAACTCTCCAGGGGGCGGCATGAGAGCGAGAAAATGATCGCGCATCGCGGAGCGCGAGAGCGCGAAGTTGAGTTCCTTTTCCGACACGCCCTGGCTGCGCCAAGAGAGGGCTTGAGGCCTCCGCAACGACGCCGCCTCCGCGTCGCTCGGGAGCCTTTCTGGCCTGGGGTCAGAGAAGGAAAACGTATCCGTACTGCTACCCTTCCTCGTCGTCGCCTGTTTGGGCCTCCTGGGAGGCTCTCGTCGCCACCGCCGGATTCGCTTCGAAATTCTGGTCAGAACGCACCCCCTGAGAGGTTTCGAGTAGTGGTATGTTTTTTTTTTGGTTTCCCCATGGGGTGGCCTCACCTCGCTGCCCGCCCGCCCTCTTCGTTGTGCAGCCTTGCATGGGAACTCTCGTGTTGCGTTACACCGCTCCTTTTTTTACAGAGTCCGTGCCACATCCGCGTCGCTTTCGTGCCCCCGCGGCCGTTGTGCTCTGATGGCGCTAGGCCCATGGAGAACGTTGAGCGCATTCGAACCGAAGTGGAATGAGAGTCAACGCCTAATTAAGCGTGAAGCGAAGGTTCCCGTGAATTGCCACATACTTCTTGCCCCGAAACCCCGCAGGGCCCGAGCAGTTCCAGGCCCGCCGGGTCGAGAGCGCGAGCGCGGTCCACGCGCTGCTGCGCCGCAGCGCGCGCGAGCGGCACACGGCGGCGACGGCGCGTGGGCGCTGTCCAAACTGGTCCGGCCGCGGAACTCCATCCCCGTCGGAGGGATTCCCTTCCACATCATCATCACCATCATCACCAGCATCACAATCATCATCATCATCATCATCATCATCATCATCATCATCATCATCATCATCATCATCATCATCATCATCTTTATCATCAGCATCGTCATCATCATCATCATCATCATCATCATCATCATCATCATCATCATCATCATCACCATCACCATCACCATCACCATCACCATCACCAACATCATCATCACCATCATCATCATCATCATCATCATCATCCTCATCCTCATCATCATCATCATCGTCATCATCATCATCATCATGATCATCATCATCATCATCATCATCATCATCATCATCATCTGTATCATCATCATCATCATCATCATCATCATCATCATCATCATCATCATCATCATCGTCATCGTCATCGTAATCGTCATCGTCTGTAGCCATTTTGGCTCATGCCTTCATGGCGCATTGCCGCGGGCTCAACGTGCGCGCGCGGGGCTTGGCATGGTGGCTCACGGGAGTTCGGCCATGGCACGGCTGGCCGCGCCGCCAGTGCGGCGCTCAAACCGGGATCGTCGGGAGGCGCGCAAGGCGGCGGCCGCGGCGGCTGAGGCCGCAGTCCACTGGCAGGCGCTCGAGGCGAGGGCCTGGCGCAGGCTCTGCGAGGACATCGCGGCGGCGCTGGGCGCTGCAGGCGCGGATGGCGAGCTGAGCAGGCGCTTGGCTGCGGCCGCCCCTGCTTTGGGCGCCTTCGTCCGCGGGGAGGAGTCGACGGTGGTGGCTCGCCGGAGGCGCAACGTGGCCCCTCACGCGGTGGCGGAGGGCATCGACGTGCTGGAGGTTGGTGCTGCGCAGCTCCGCGCGGCGCAGAGCGGCCCGCGGCTCGGCGCGAGGAAGAACGCCTCGGAGGTGTCGCGCATGGAGGAAGGAGCCCGTGGAGCAGCTCTCGGCTTCCGAGGCGGGCGTCTGCGGCGAGGCCTTCAAGGAGGTGCTGCATTTCCACGTGGAGCTCGAGGAGGAGACTGCTAGAGAACGCAGTCCCCCGGGCGGCCGAGTCGGGCGCCGAGCGCGTGACAAAGGTGCCGTACGGGAGGATCCACGTGGAGAGCGAGGCGGCGAGCAAGGGCTGGTTAGCGCCAGGTGGCAACTGAAGGACCCCGCGACGGAGGCCGAGATCTTCGTTTGTGGGCTGGAGGCGGGCTGGCGCCTCGCAGAGAAGGCCGTGCACGACGACGAGAAGCAGCACGACGAGGCGCAGTACGGCGAGGACGTGCTCTGCGTCACCGCGGCGGCGGGGGCGGAGCAGAGCGTAGTGAAGGAGGAGCTGGACGCCAAGGTGTACGTGCATTGCGCGGGGGCCGAGGACGACGACGGTCCGTTGTGCCGCTCTACGCCAAGCAGGACGGGTTGGAGCCCCACGCGTCGGTGTACGACGTCGAGCAGGGCGTGGAGCAGCACGTCGAGGATTTGTTCAGCGTCGACGGCGCTGTCCCGCCAGACCCCGAGGGCGACACCGAGGAGCACGCGGGGTACGAGAGCGTGCGCTTCTTCGACTGGATCGACGACGCGGTGCTCTTCGGTCCAGGTGGGCCGGTGGAGAAGGCTCACTTCCTGGACCGCTCCAGCCTCGACGCGCTGGCGGCTACGCCCACGGTGCAATGCGACGCTGTGGAGGAGCTCAGGTGGCGCGCGTTGGACAAGGTCACGAACGACCACTCCGCAGGGCGCGACGGGGTCATGGACGTTTGCAGTTTGGGGTGCACTGCGCGAGAACCCTGGGGAGGGGGGCCAAAGACCCCAAGTGAGAGCTGGGCCGTCGGCCGCGCGGGTGTCGGGCCTGGGCGCGGACTGCACGCCTGCTTTGATGAGATTTATCGTAGATCCCCCGCCGCGGACCCAGGCCATGTGCGAGCAGGCACTTTGCGAGTAGTGGAACATGCCCCGGGCGAACGATCATATCGAGGGGGCATGGATCTCCCCCTGCATGCTGCGGCGCGCACAGGCGCTTGATGCGCGGGAGGCGCGGACGCGCCTGGCGGAGGCACGCCCCGCGGCCACCGTTGCCGCCACCCTCCCGCCCGACCTCCCCCCCCCGAAAAAAACTACCGGTCTTGTCCTCCGCTTCCTCCTCTCAGTTTCCGCCTCCTCCTCCTCCTCCTCCTCCTCCTCCTCCTCCTCCTATTCCTCCTCCTCCTCCTCCTCTTCCTCCTCCTCTTCCTCCTCCTCCTCCTCCTCCTCCTCCCTCTCCTCCTCCTCCTCCCTCTCCTCCTCCCTCTCCTCCTCCCTCTCCTCGTCCCTCTCCTCCCCCTCCTCCTTCTCCTCCTCCCTCTTATCCTCCTCCGCCTCCTCCTCATCATCAGCGTCATCGTCGTCATCATCAGCGTCATCATCATCATCATCATCATCATCATCATCATCATCCTAATCCTCGTCGTCGTCATCAACATCCGCATCCTGATCATCCCTCTCCTCTTCCCTCTCCGCCTCCTTCTCCTTGTCCTACTCCTCCTCTTCATCCGCCTCCTCGCCACCGTCCTCCTCATTATTTGTTTCCTCCTGGGGAACGCGCGCCGACGCCGCCGCTCGTCCTGGAGTGACCGCGATGCCATGGCCAGATGATTCTTGAACTTCTGACCCGAGCACAATTCAGGTCGGGGGCTAAATTCGGAAGCCGAAAGCCCAAACCGCTGGCGATTGGAAAGAACCACGCCAGGTGTGCTTCTCGATTTTCGGCAGACAATGTGTCTTGGAAAGGGTACGATTGAACGATTGATCTGGGGGCTGGCGTCTCGAACAGATCGAGTCGTCAGAGGTTATGGGGATGTTGGCGCGCTCGGTTTGCAGTGTGAGGCAGACCGTCGATTTGGCAACCCCGACGGTGAATTGACACGTGCCGACGCGTTCGAAGCTCCACTGCCCTCTCGCTGGGCGAGCCCCAGCAGTCTCCAGACCGGCCAAAACCAGGGAGAGGATGGCAGCGGGGGCGGGCAAATGCCAGTCAAGGTGACGGGGACGAGGGCGTCGGTACAGTTCCACCCTTCACCAACAACAGCTTAGGTCCCGGACTTCATGGTGTCGTAGTGTAAGAGGGTTGACAGACTTGAAACCGCGAGACGCGTCCGGATGTCACCAACGGACAGCGCAACTGCGGCCGCGTCGGTCGCGCTAGATTTTCATGTGCCACTCTTCGCGCGAGCTTGAGCGCGCTAGCGCGGACGCAGCGATATGCCAGCCAGCGCCAGGTAGTCATCGCAATCGCATCCCGCTGTTTTTCTACATACGAACGCACGCCATCCCACTTAAGCCAGCATCGCCCGCCCCAAACCTTCGTCAAATATTTAGCTCCGCGCACACCCGTATCTCAGAAGTCATCAATTTGTAACAAATCCGCGCGAAATCATTGGATGGAGTGCGCACGCGATAGTCGTCGCGCGCGCATGCCCGAATCCTCCAACAAACCGTCGGTCGCTTAAGGATTTCAGGCCCGAGCGCTCCAAAAACACAAAACACCAAAGGTGTTGCACACTGGGTTCAAAAATATGCGCGCGCGCTCTTGCGACAAGTTTTTTGGACAACCATAGGCTTACATCCCCATCAGATGCGACCAAGCGGGCCCTTCGCGCGCGCATGTCAAAGTCATGTGATGTTCCTTTGCGCGCGCGCTGGGAACACGAACCATGTCAACAAACGTCCATGCCGGCCACTCGCGCGCGTAGGCCGCGCGCACATGTTTAAATTCCTCCCGAACCTTAACACTGACATGTGGGCACCAATATCGTCATTGGCATGATCTGCATCGATGCCGTCATTGGCATTGCCGTCGTCATTGCCATCATCGTCATCAGCATCGCTATTATCACCATTGTGTGTGTTGTTGTCGACGTCGCCATGAAACCGCGCCCGCCCGACCCACCGACTCGCACTGAACTGCCCACTGCGGCTTGCAAGGAACGCTGGGACGGCCCCAGCGGTCAGCGCTACCGCGGCCGCGTCGATCGCGCCAGACTAGGTGGCCGTTCTGCGCGAGAGATTGCGCGCGTTAGCGCGGCCGCAGCGATGTGCCAGCCAGTGCCATGCAATCACCGCAATCGCCGCCGCATGGCTTTTGCAAACCAAGTTGCGGGCGGGTGGGTGGGACGATTACGTGAACAGTGGAGCTGACAATGTCAAGTTCGGCACGGTGAATCGTACAACATACGTGAGCTGTACCACATGGGTTGCACGGCACAAATCGCACCACATAGACTACGCCACATAGCTTGCAACACGCAGAATTCACCATAGTGATTGTTCTACCTGGATTGCCCTGCGTTGCACAGTATAGATGACACAACGTAGATCGCACCACATTCGTAGCACCACTTAAAATACACCGCATATATCTCACCACGTATAACGGACCACATCCTGCTCCACATACATTGCGCAACATCCAGGGACATAGTGTATGGGATCCACGGTGCTTGACACTGTACCCCGGTAGTCCTATCGGAGTTCATATGTACAGCCATCGGGATCCAATGAAAACCCTAAGCTTATCCATTGGGGTACTTACAGGAATCCGATTCAGAATGCCAATGGAAACGCATGGGCCAATTATTGACGCTTCGCGTATCCCCACCAGCCCATCCAGAAACGATGCCCCTGAGAGTTGACGGGGGGGGGAGAGAGGAGGATACATACATATTCAAACAGCGAGGGAGGCTGGCCTGGACGGCGTATTGGGGCCATATCAGGGCCCGCGTGGGGTGGTGGGGGGCGAAGAGGAAGGGGAGAAGGAGGAGGAGCAAGTTCAGGAGGAGGAGGAGGAGGGGGAGCGAGGAGGCATGAGGAGCAAGACGACGACAAGGAGGACGAGGATAAGGATGGCGAGGGCTAAGAGAGTGAGGACGAGGAGGGAGGGGAGGGGGAGGAGGAGCAGGAGGAGGAGGGGGAGGAGGAGGAGGAAGAGGAGGAGGAGGAGGAGGAGGGGGAGGAGGAAAAGGAGGAGGAGGAGGAGGAGGAGGACAAGGATGAGGAAGAGGGCTCTCTTGGAGCGCTCTTGGACGCTTTTGGGGCCGTCTTGGGGGCGTCTTGGGGGCTATCGATCAAACAAGGGAGTTCCGTTATCTCCGTTCCCCTCTTGAGGCCCTCAAGACCGTCTCTTGAGGCGCTCTTGGGGGCGCTTTTGGGGCCGTCTTGGGGTCGTCTTGGGCCCCTCTGGGGGCCTTCTTCGGCCATCTTGGAGTCATCTTGAGGCCTCAGAAGCTCATCGGAAGCGAAAAGGCGAGAAGGCAAACATCGTTGATTGCCTTCGGGTGTTTGAAGGATTCTGGCTTTTCGGAGAGGTCCTGAGGGGTACTTGGGGGCACCAGGAACTGTCCTGTGGCTCGTGGGGCCTCTTGAAGGCATGTCGGAAGCTGTTGAAGCATCTTCGGTTGCCTTGAGCCGTCTTGGAGGCCATCTCGGAGCATCGGAGGCCCTTTTGGAGCCATCTTGGGCCATCTTCGACGCTCCAACCCCTCGCGAACCCCCCGTCCAGGTCCAGGGGAGGGGGTAGGGGGAGGGGTAAACCCCTCCCCGAAGAGGAAGAAGGGTTGTGGAAGAGGGAAGAGGAATCTCGTTAGACCGCCTGTCGCCCAGAGGGCTGGTGGGATTCATTGGAATCCATTGGGACGTGCATATGGCCACGTTGGAGAATACATAGGCCCCCATTGGGTCCCATCGGGGGCTGTTGGAATATTGTTCGTAGTGACAAGATCATCTTATACATAGGGATCAGCAACGGCAAAACGACGGCCACTGGGGCGTGGGGGCTGCACCCCGTTTCCCCCACTGTCGGTGGTTTGGGGATGGGGTCTTGAGGGATGGGAACCCAATTACGGACGAGGTGCCTCAAACAATGTAGATCCACCGTTGGATCCCTTCGTATCTTTTAGGACCCCACCCCGCAGGACCCGGCCTGTGCATTACCGAGCACAGCGTCTGCGAGCTTATCACGCTAGAAGCTCACCATGCGGACGCGGGTTTTTTGTATGACGATCTTGGCATCTGGGGCCAGCCTCGAGGAGGGCCGGGGACCCCCAGGACGGCAAACGGGAACCACAGCAAGGGCTCTTTGGGGCCATCTTTGGAGCATGCTTGAGGATCAGATCCTCTGTGCACCCTCCCCTGGCCTCGCGCAAGTGCAACGGGACAAGGCCCGACAGAGGCAAAGATCCGCAGACGGCATCTATACACCACCGTGCCCGGCCTGGGCCATCCTATGGTGTACAGACTTTCCCGGCCGAGGCCAGGAGGGCGTTATACACCATGCCAGGGCCGAGGATGGCCCTTGGCATGGCGCGGTGGTGGCGTATAGATGCCGTCTGCGTGAAGGAGCGTTTGGGAGACCCGTGACTTCAGGGTCCGGAGCCCCCGAGGAGCGTTCACGGTGTTCTCATCATCAATTCTTGTGGCATGGTGACGAACATTGTGCAGTTAGGTATTCGTCGTTGCGTCCCCCTCCCAGCCACGGCCTCTTTAGTGCTGCAGGTGCCGCGAGGCTGGTCGAAAACGACCGCATCTGTGCTCTTGCTCTGAGCGCATCTTGGCCAGAGAGAGGGCGTCCAGGTGGCATCGAGAGGCGCCCACTCGTCCAAGTAGCATCGAGAGGCGCTCCGCCTCGGACTGGCGTATCCTCGCCCGTTCGTCCTAGCAAATCCTCCTGCTGCCACTCCTTCACTCGCCCTCCCCTCTCCCCCGCTGCGCCATCCTGCGCCCTCCTCTTCCATCCTTCCCCTCGCCCCCTCGCGCACCCCCCCTCTCCCGAAACCGTCCGAAGACAGTTGGAACCCGTCCCGTCCCTCCTGCCCCATTTCTGGTGCCCCGAGGGGGGAAAGCGGGGGCATGAGGAGGGCGCCGAGGAAGACGTGGAGGGCGAGGGCAGGGCAGGGAGGAGCGGGACAGCGAGGAGGCATCCGCCACCTCGCCTCTCGGAGCCTGGACCCAGGAGCCCCCGAGGCTCCTCCCGAAGGCCGGCGAACGCTCCCTCTATGCCCCTTCCAGGCCAGCCAGCCCCAGAGAACGTCAACAGGGATATTGGCCCGCTGGATCCCAAAACAAAGAGAGACTGCGTGTGAGAGGGAGGTGCGATGAGAGGTGGAGGGACAACGCCGGGAGGAGGCTGGGGAGGCACAGGAGGCACGCCAGCGCACTTGGATCCTCCCCTTCCCACTCCTCCCTCTGGCCGCCCCCCCGTCCTGCTCCCCCTCCCCCTCGGCTCGTGTGTATGCCACACTGTGAAGATCCCAGGCCTGTTTGTTCGCTCGTTCATTCCCCCTCTGGCTCCTCCCAGTCCCTCCCCTCCCCCTCCACCACTGTCCCCCTCCTCCTTTCACTTCTCCCCCTCCTCCTCCTCCTCCTCCTCCTCCTCCTCCTCCTCCTCCTCCTCCTCCTCCTCCTCCTCCTCGCCCTCCTCACCCTCCTCCCCTCCCCAGGTAATTTGCCCTTCTCCCCCCGTGGCCCAGGCATGCAACGACCGCTCGAGCCGCTCCCACGCGATCTTCCAGCTTTCCATCGTCGGGCGCAACCAGTCTGGGTCATGCCCGCAGGAGGCGCCTCTGTTTTCGGAGGTCTCCACTGGAGGGCGTGCGAGGAGGAGGAGGAGGAGGAGGAGGAGGAGGAGGAGGAGGAGGAGGGGAGGGTCCGTAGCCATTTTGGCTCAAGGCCGCCATGCGCGGGGACGCCCCCCCCCCGCACTCTGGCTCCGGGGACGCGGGACCGGCCTGAGCCCGCCAGCCACAGGCGCGCGAGGGAGGCACGGCGGCCGCCGCGGGCGCCGACAGTCTAGGACAAGAAGGGCTACGAGAATGTGACGGGCCTCGCGATGCCCAGGCCAGCCAAGGCTACGCGCAGGATGGCTTATGCAGCAAGACGTAGCAAGTCCACCAGGGCCACCAGTACACGCTGGGCTACGAGAATGGCGCTGGGCTACCAGAGCAGGCCGGGCTACAAACGCGCTGCTCCACGAGATCACGGTGAGCTACGAGACGGAGCTGAGCAACCACAGCACCCAAGGCCACGAAAAGGCGCGGGGCTACCAAAACACGCTGAGCTACGAGAGCGCGCCCGCCTTCGAGAACACGCTGGGTCACTACAGCACGCTGGGCTGCGAGAAGGCGCTGGGCTACCAGAACACGCTGGGCCACCAGAACACGCTGGGCCACGAGAAAACGATGAACCACCAGGGCACGCTTGGCCACCAAAGCGCGATGGGCCACGAGAAGGCGCTGGGCGAATTACGAGACGGAGCTGCGCTTCCAGAGCTCGCCAGGCCACGAGATAATGCTGGACCACGCGAAGACACTGGGCTAGCAGAACACGCTGGGCTACGAGAGAGCGCTGGGCTTCCAGAGCGCTGGGCCTCAATGAGCTGGGCCGCGAGAAGTGGATGGGCCACCAGAACATGCTGCGCCACCACACGCAAGGCCACGAGACGGCGCTGGGCTACGAACACGCTGGGCCACCTGAACACGCTGGGCTACGCGCAGGTGCTAGGCAACCAGAAGAAATTTAGGCTCGAGAACACGCTGGGCCACGTGAAGGCGCTGGGCGAACAGAACACTCCGGGTTGCGAAAACACGCTGCGCCACCAGAACACGATAGGCTACGAGACGGAACTGCGCCACTAGACCACGCGAGGTCACGAGAACATGCTGAACCACGAGTAGGCGCTGGGCTACCAAAGCATGCTGGGATGGAAGAGCGCGGTAATTTTCGAGAGCGCGCTTGGCCACCGCTCGGTGGGCCGCGAGAAAGCGTTGGGCTACCAAAAGACGCTGCGCCACCAGGAAGGACACGCTGGGCCCAATAAGACGAATCCAGCCATAGATGTGGACCTGGAGTGGACAGTCCGCATTTGGATTTACAAACCACGCCCAGATCTGCGCAGGAAGCACTCGGCGCTTGGCAGCAGCAGCAGCAGCAGCTGAAGTTGGGCATCACTCATGGTGTCACGTTCGCCCAGGTCCGAGACGCTCTTAGCGGGCACCTGGATGACACGTTCGAGATCCAGGCCGCTGAAGAACGCAGGCGGACTAGTGCCCCCCCCGAAGGATCCGCACACCCGAAAGGCCCATCGCCATCGGGGAGACCGCGGAGGGCAAGTGCGGCAAGTAGCACTTCGCAGCGCCATGCTGGATCTGAGCGAGCAGACTTTGAAATAACGCAGGACAGACGTCTCCGCGAATGACGTTTCCGCTATTTCCTGAGCAGGAAACACGACCTTAGATCCAAGAGCCACCAGAAGAACTACAACGGCGATACTGGCCTGCCAGAAAACACGGAAATTTCGAGTTGCCCTTGTGAGTTGGCCGAGGTTCCTGGTTTCTTGACAAGGTTCTATCCTAGAGCCACCAGAGGAACAAAAACGGCGAGACGGGCCTGCCTGAGGCCGGAGAGGACGTCGAGTTGTCTTTGCGAGTTGGCCGGGGTACTTGGTTCTTGTTTTTTCTATGAATCCAGCATTTCCCTTCCTCCCCACGCAGCGGTGCCACGCAGGCACGCGCCGCTCGCCATGAGCTGCTTAGGCCCTTTCGGCGTCTTCTCCCTGCTCCTTGAGCGACGAAGGGGACGAGGAAGGGGAGGGGGAGGAAGAGGGGGGGAATGGAATGGCGGAAGGCGATAATTACCTCTGGACGACAGCGGGCACGCCAGAGGGCACGCGCGCACGAAAGCCTGCCTCTCTCGGGCGAGCCCCCCGAGATCCGCCGACCCCTCTTCACGGGCCCGCGCCGGAGGGGAGGACGGACTCCTTGTGGTCGGTCCTCCCCCGGCTCATTCCCGCGCTGCCGTAGCGTCTGTCGCCGCTTGCGCCCCTCCCCCTCCTCTCCTCCTCCTCCCTCCTCCCTCCTCCTCCTCCTCCTCCTCCTCCTCCTCCTCCTCCTCCTCCTCCTCCTCCTCCTCTCCTCCTCCCCCCCCCCTCCTCCTCCTCCTCCTCCTCCTCCTCCTCCTCCCCCCCCCCCCCCCCTCCTCCTGAGCCGCTCTGGCCCAGGTTTCCTGGGCTCGCAGTCACTGACTCATCAGAACGGCCGGGTGATTGCGAGCCAGTCTGGCCGCGGTCACCGCGCAGATCTCTCCGATCACGCCCCTCGCGCCATGCGCCGTGGTGCCGAGCGGCGCGGACCTTCCGCGCACGGGCGCTGGGCCGCTCCATGGAGGCAGGACGCGCAGGCCCGATGGGACGCGGGGGCTGCCAGCGGCAGCGACGGGCGCCCCTGGGGGGGGCCCCAGCAGCGCCCGCCATCGCGCCCCAGACGGTGGACGCGCGGACTGCGCGGATGCAAGAAGAACGAAGACAGGCTCGCCCACTGCAAGCACTGCAAGGCGGATCGCGCTGAAGGTGAAGAAGCTGCAGCTCTGGACGCACTATTGGCGGAGTCGGATGTCGCTTCTCGCGCCCCTCCCCGGCGTCTCGCTGCTGGGCGAGGAAGAGCGCGACAGGTCCAAGCGCTTGGCGACTCCCCTGCTGCTTCAGCTGGCGCCCGCTCTCGCGAGAACAGCCGTGCACGATTCCACGGCGAGCTGCCGAATCAGGAACTCCAGCAGCTCATCACTCTCTCGGAGAAGGCGGGCGACCAGCCCTCGGCCGAGAAGTACCGCGAGCAGTTGGCAGAGCAGGGGGGGAATGAGGCACCCACTCCAGTGCAGCAGCGGGCATCGACTGCCCACTCGCGCGTTGTGGCCCCCGAGGAGCGCTTGCAACAGGAATCGGACCGCCTCGAGGAGCTGCTTGGCCTGGACACCAAGCAGAAGTCCAGAGTGTCCGACCTGCAACAAGAGCTCGACAACGCAGACAGGGAGTACAGAGATATCGTTTCTGAGTTGGCTGGCGGCACTGTTCACCAACAGGCTCCTACGACAACCAAGATCTGTCTCTCGCGGCTGGTCAACAGCGAGATCAAGGCAGAGGAGCTTTTCGACGCAGCCGCATTCCCCGACATCGAAGGTTAAGACAAGCTGGAGATCAGTCGCCGCATGGACACGATGCAGGAGGCTCTTCAGAAATGTTTGAAGGGCCTTTTTTTCTCAGGAGCGCTTGCCACGGTGGAGAACATCAAGAAGGAGCATGCCGACCACAAAAGCAGAATGGGCGAGAAAAGGAAGACGGGCGAGGACAGTGCTGGCAGCTCAGGCAGGACCACTTCAGCTCCTCCTCGGGCACAGGCTTCAGGGCCAGCAGCAGGTGCGCCAGCGGCGGGGCAACCACCTGCGCAGCATCGCCATGCTGTTCCTCATCGTGCTGAGTTGGATGACCCTGCCGCTAAGGCAGATGGTGAGGCCTTTTCTCAACGGCAGCCAGCAGTCCAAGGCAGGCGGAGGTGGGGCCTCTGCCGCCAGGACGCCAATTGATGTCAGGTCCAGGGCCAGGCAGCAGGTGGAGGCTGGCATCTCAGCAGCAGATCAGCGGCCCAATTCTGAGCCCCCGCCAAGGTAGCTACCTTGGCTCACACGGGGGCAATAACAACAGATATGGTAGAAAGATATTTGGTGCTCCAGGGGACCGCCTGGCTCAGATTTCCAGGCTCAGGCTCCGTTGCTCCCTGGGGCCCCACAGTTTTGATTTGTTCCGTGTCTTCCCCCCCTCTTGGGCCCAGGGCGAGAGGCTCGGGCGCTTCGGGGGGGGGGGGGGGGGGGGGTCGAGCGTAACATCGGCGCGCATCATTGCGGTGCAGGAGCACCACGTGCGCAGCGATAGTCTCTACGAAGCCAGCAGTTGGCTAGTCAGACATCAATGGAAAGGATTTGTTTCAGCTGCTACCCCTGGACCTGGAGGCGGCGCGCTTGGCGGAGTGGCAGCGCTGGCGAGAGCCTGGCTAGGGCTGCACCATGCTGCCGGCACAGGTGCGACTGCAGGGGTTCTGGTTCCTGGTAGAGCTGTACTGGCCGCAGTCCACCTCCCCAGCTCCACCCCCATCAACGTTGCCTCGCTCTACCTCTACGTCGGAGAAGGACTGTCGGACAGAAATTTAGGCATTTTGAGTGAGGTGGGGGGGGCCGCAGGGATTTTGGGGCAGGAGACGATTTGTTGGCGCCGATCCCCCCCCCCGAGCGGTCACGTGAGAGCGGTTTCTTCGAAAAGCTCGGAGAGTTGGTCAAACCCGACTGCGAAGCCACGTGTTACACGGGGCAAGGAGGGAAGTCCTTGATTGATGATTTTGCGGTCTCTCCTGGCGCGAGTAAAGCTGTCAAATCTGTTGAAAGGATCACGACCAACATCATCAAAACTCACTCGCCTGTCCAGGAGACCTTGTTCCCGCGTGCGTGTGAGCTGCAGGCCTTGCAGTTCCGACGCCGCCCTGGGACTCTGACGGAAAGGCCGATTGGCCCCCCTACCGCCCCCTTTGTCTGGGGCGCGGTTGTGGACTATGGTCACCGCGCGCTGGACGCAGCTAATGCTGGCCAGGTGCCGAGGGCTCTCCGTGGGCTGGATATCCTTTATATAAGAAGTTCGCTAACAAGGCTGAGATCGAAGTTGCTAGGGTTAGTCGCGTGGATCTACTGCTATGGCAGTCGCGGCAAGCCTCCTGAGCCCCAACGGGCCCCGGTGTTTCAT